AGATTGTGGCTGAGCGCAAGCGCATCATCGAAGTATATTACCATTGGCCCATCGGTTATTGGCTCCAAAAAGTCGTGATTGACTTGCCGCTGCGGTTCAGCAAGTGAATTCACGGATCGAAGGGACATGCAGGTGTACTGCAGCTTGCGAGTTCGGGTGTGAAACACCGTCTTGCGCGTGTCCTCCGGATGACTTGGGGAATGCAAAAATTCCTCAGCGAAGGTAGATGCTGAGTATACAGCTGTACCTTGTACGCGGTCAAGGATTTCGGCGATCCTTGGCATCGGAAAAGTCTGTTTCAATGTAATTTTGCTGGGAAGCTTGAAGTCAGCGCGCATGCTTCGCCTGCGCTCCTTTTTCTTCGCCAACACCGGATCGTCTCCAAAGGCGCTAGCTGACGGCTCAGCCTTACCTGTTCTTAGAAGTTCGTCCGCCTGTCGCTCTTCAAGATGTGTTGGTTGCCTGTACCTTGGAACGAATCTTGGGGCTGCGCTGGGAATTAGTTCGATGCCGAGCATTGAGCGTGCAGTGGGTGGCCTGCCGGCCGGTAGCTCTTCACGGGGTCAAATCCGTGAAGACTGCGGTCTTCACCCCTTCATATTACGGTGGCCACATTCCGCCTGGATTGTATTTGGAGAAAGGACATTTTACCTCGTAATTTGTGCCGCAACCGAACTTCGCCTTATTTGGCCTGGCTCCAGACCCTCCGTCACCCCCCCATATGCCGGCAAATCCTGATCGATATCCCTTTGGCTGTAGGGAAATGGCTATAACTTGAAAACGATTTTGTTTAAAAAAGAAGAACAGTTTCTCCAAAGCTATGCACGAGCCCGCCGACATGCTGGCGTTTATTGCTCGCACATGCCCGGTCCAACTGTAGTGCACATTCCCTGCAATTGTAGCGAACAGCTGGCCTACACTGTAACATGAGTTAGCGCAGAGTTAGCTCAGGAGCCTATCGACAGCTTTGGCATGCTGCGCGTAAGCGCCTGCAAACGCTATACAAGTTCGTTACGAGGCAAAGCATGCAGCAAAGGAAGCTTCTCTGAAGCTTCCTTTAGTGCACGCGTGGGGCTGGCTAGCTCAGCCAGCCGCAGCGGGGTGCGCTGCAACTCCATTTCGGGCTGCCTCCTCCCCGCGACACCCTGGCCCTGGGCTCAACGCCCAGGATGCCTAGGTACCGC